TCCTAGTAGCGATGCCAGGAGCGCCTAGTAGCGTCCTTGCTCCTAGTGCTTGGTACCCCGTGAACATCCTCGCTATATCCTTCCCGTCTCACACGTCGACACCTCGACGGGACTCGACAGGCCGAGACCGAGGCGCTCTTCGCACGCATCGCTTTGGCCTACGAGGTGGGTCTGGCGGGGTTCTGATCTTCGCCACGAACCATGGCACCCTCAAAGTGGATGGCTATATTGGGGACTATACTATGAAGCTGCTAGCGTGGAGCACGAACGCTTGCTCCAGTCGCTGGCAGCGGCCCTTCAGCGCGAAAATGCCCGGGCCGTCCTTCCACGTGTTGAGTGAGGTTTTTGTATTGCAGTGTGCAGTTTATTTTTTCCCGTTTTGGAATCCACTGTGTTTTGCGTCCGGGGGTCTTTGAAGTCCCCACTCCTGACGGATGCGCGGCGGTTTTTTGTTCTTGAGCTGGCGTGCCAGCCACGCATGCATCCTGTGCTGGTCCGTGTCGCTCCTGCTGTCAACGGCTCCTTTTTTCTGGCACTTTTGCCCTAAGGGCTGTGCCGGACACCCTTTCTACTCGGTGGCTAAGTCCCCTTCACTTACCCGTGTTCCTTTGGAGAAGTCTCCAACTGGTTGTTGGAACCGGCTATACTATAGATCCAGTACACCGTACAACGCGGCAATTGGATGCAATTGGGGGGGTTCTACTGGTGGACCTACAATTGCAAGTGCGTGCATCCATCATGAAGGGATGTTCTACGAGGTTTTGGCAGTGGCGCAAGAACAAGCATCTCTAATCCGGATCTGGGACGAGTATGCTACCTCAAACTGACATAGCCCATGTCACTTGCATTTGAAAGTTCCTCCATCCTCGATCAGTTGGTTAGTTTCGAGAAAGGGTACTTGCGATGGTCCCAGTTGGTCAATGGACATCGATCTTTAGATCTCTCAAAGGTCCCTGTTGGGTGGAGTTCCCGCGAAGGGAGGGGAAGGCCTTTAACTCCAGCTGGATCCCCTTGTCCCCCAAACGTTTGAGTTGTACCCCAGAATCTTTGGAGCAGGTTTTAGTCCTTACATGCCCTTACAGTATTGTTTCACAATGTTTGGAACAGAAGATTCTTGGGCGAGGGATTGTGTTAGTTTCAATGGCTTAACGTGCGTTTTGTACAGTTAGTTGCTCCAAAACCAGTCCAATCTCATCTCCTTCTCGGAAACCGCCCAAAGCATTCACTATCCCTCATGCCGCATCCACTTGCCGCTGCTAGATGATTGTTTTAGATGGGTGTGGTGAAAACATGTCAAGACCTATCTATGAATACAGGTGCGTGTCAGTCAGGTCGAACCAAATGTAGCATACAGGTGCATGTTTTGCAGATCCCAATGCACCTAGTGTTTAACAGGAACCATTGTTAACTGACCCCGAGACATCAAGATCCTGTTAAGACCTAGGTCAGATCAGGTATCAGGTCCCTTTTTCCCAGGGATCCACTGATCCCCGAGACTCACCTCCAGTCATTGCATCCAAGGGGAAGGATCATTTGGGGGAAGGACTTACCTTCAATGGACGGCCGCTGCAACGAGGGACCTTTGAATCCCGGTCACCCGTTCTTTGGGGTTTTGCGAAGGTCTTCCCAGTGGCCCATGGGCCACGGGCTGCAGTCTGTCTTTTAAGCGGAATCAGTGAAATTGCCACGCCACGCAACAATAGACACCGCACTGTAGGTGCAAATCTGTGTGTTGTGTAATGCAGCAGTACATTGGATGCCAAAAATGCCAAAAATACATAAACATACTATATACAGTAACTATGTTCAATCTTCATTGATTCTCCGTGCAATCCAATTTCTGAATGTCCAGGACGTGCTTATTACTTACTATCGATTTTGTATCCAACGATGCACCTGGCTGTGCCAGGTATTGGGTGATGAACAGCGACGGAGACGTTGCTCGGTCGCTGTTTGGATCGGTCTGGTGCGTTTGGGAGGCATTTTGGGAGCCCACTAAAATACTGTAAATCATAAAAGAGATTGAGATAGGATTGTTAATATTGATATTTGGTAAACATAATTGCTAAATGGACATTCACCCACCAATAAACAGAAGTAACAAGTGAAACTGGCCCAGCTATGGCAAGCTGTATCAAATGTAACGCTGTGGATCACCTGGAGGCCAGGTGCACCATGTGCCGGTGTTGGTCTCCCTGGTCGCCTCCTTTGTTTATTATTTGGGATTATTTGGGGTGGTCAAGTAAGTGATGCTTGACCCACAGCTATGTAGCCATTTTTGGAACGATGGAGTCATTTGTGAGGGTCTATGATGTCCAAAATTCTTAGGGCACCAAAAACGCCTCACCAAGGCTTGCTCAGTTGGATCCCAGTTGAGCCTAAACTATCAGGGCGAGGCATTTAATAAAAGTTAAGCTTATGTTTGGATCTGGATCGTTTATTTCACTGGATAGTGATCCACTGGTAACAGTTTACTTTGCTGGTGACGGCAGTCCTGATCAACAGCCATCCAGTCAGATTCTCAGAAAGGCAGAATCCAGGAACTGAGCAGGAAAACTGACATCACTGGTCACCAACTGCTTTGAGCTGGTGTTTTACTTTGAGTTCTGTTGCTGATCTAGAAAGTCATAAAAATGAAAGTCCTAGAAGGTGTGTATCCAGAAGGTCAAAGCTCCAAGAAACTTGTTGTCTTTCTAGACTCTCTGAGGTTTCCTGATTTGTGGTCCCATTGGACCCTAGCAAAGTCATCGATATTTTGCAGATCTCAACTCGATGTCTTTCGAAGTTTTTCAGGCTACGACCTCTCGGGTGAGCTCCCGCACAACGATGCAGCGGCAGGAGGGTGTCTCCCACTTCGGGCAGGGTTCGGTTGGTGCGGGACGGTGTCAGTCTATGTACTTATGTCATGCACAACTCGGCCTTCACCGCTGGCTCTTCACGTGTGTGGTGAGCAGAGCTTTGGGACTAACTTTAACATAGGTTAATCTGGCCCCACATCCTTGAGTTCCAAAACAACATCTCTTCGCAAACATTTGCCAGACGAGATGATTGCCTTACTGTAAGATCTCTTTGGCCATGAACATGATTACAAGGCCCAGTGAGTGCATGGAATCAGGAAATTCTTGAACCATCCTTTTCCTTGCTACATCAGGGCTGCAACGACCTTATTTCCGAGGTACTTGGAGAGGACATGAGGTTTGTCAGATCTATCACTACCTTCAGAGCTTTTAGAACAATTGGAACATCCTGGAGCCCAGAGATGAGCACAAAAATAACCGCCTTTTCTGGTGATGAGGGACTTTCTTAGACCTGGCATTCATGCCTGCGTTAGTCCAGTGTTGGGGTCCCTGACCAATGGATTCCAAGCTTTGGCCGTGTCCAAGTCCCATCCCCGGCAGGACGATCCGCTCAAGAGACCTTCCTCGCAGCCTACATGTCCACGGCGCGCCGCACGGAGCGATCGGAGTTCGCGGCGACGGGGCCGGCGACGGTTGTGGGCGGTGGGCTGAGGATGGGAAGAGGATGGGAGGCGCTTTCCAGGCGGTGAGAAGGCGGTTTGTAATTGTTGTTGAGCCGAAGTGAGAACTGGGGTGATCCTTTGGAAGTGATTGCAAGGTCTTTGTGCTTCATTTGCCACACGTGCTGAGTCCAAAGGCCACCCCATCTTGCAAAATTCGACCCCCCTGAATGGTTGTTGTGCTTCCTACACGGAGGTCAAAAGAAACCTCACTCTACGCAGTTACTGTATATGATGTTATATAATATATAGTAGTTATAGTTTTGTAGGACACATTTCTGTCTCGGTTTGACCGCTGACGGGATTCTGGTGTTTCACAGAGGGACCATGGCCATGGACCCAATTGAGCTCTTGCGGCGAACCATGCGAACCGACCTTGCTTGAGCGTTTCATACCATGGCCATCCACCAACTGTAGATCGACCACTTCGCTGGGGCCTGGGTCGAAGGTATTTGGATTTGGAGCGGATAAATATGTTGCGTGATTGTTCTTTTTTTTTATCCGGATGTGTTTTATGTATAAAAGGAGAGAAGGAGAGGAAAAAGATAAAGAGGGAGAGGCGGGGAGAGACAAAGAGAAGAAAGGGAGAGGGTGAGGGAGGGGAGAAAAACAAAAGAATGTCAAAGGAGAGGGAGCCGAGAGGAGAGAGGAACTATCAGGGTTTCTTTGGCCTTGGCTTCGTTTTCACTTCTTTAGGGTTTCTTTGGGCTTGGCTGCTTGGCTGGCTTAGGGTTTTGCTTCTTTATGGTTCTTCGAGGTTGTTGGCTGAGGATCTCCTACTGGTACCATGATAAACAAAATTAATTGCTTCTCTACGAGTCAAAGTACACTAGAAACAAAGGGCTCGTAAGTAAACAACAAGCAGGGCAAGCAGAAGCATAAAGCAAGCAAATAAAAAAAATGCAAAAGCAGAATCAAAGCAACAACCAAAACAGTAGCAGAAGCAACGGCAGAAGCAAAAGCGAAAGCGCAAAACACTATATACTGGAAAAATATCCAACACATGTGTGGAAAATATCCCGCAAAAATAGTGTGTCTTTTTGAGCCAGACTGATTTAATCAATGTTGACTGCTTTTTTGTTTGAATGCCAACATACAAACATACACGGAAGTTTCTCCACAACACTCTGTTTTTTTCCACCAATTTGCATGCAAAGAACAAGATAGGCGTGCAACACTGTAAATCGCTGGGTTTCGGATGCTAGGACCGGGCCGCAGGAGTCGTGCATCCGGTTTGGCGAAGTGGAACCTTTACTTTCTGAAGCCCACTCAAATCAGAGAGTACCACAACCACAGGCTTCATCCAAAATTCCGTGGTCAAAGAAAGAGGGAAAGTATAGTTTCCCTGGCTTCCCTGCATTGTCAACGTTCTTTGTCCGCAAAATACGATCGCTATTTCCTTTAGGGATCCAACTACTCGTTGCATCCTTAAAATATGATTAAAGAAAATCATAGAACATCATCACACACAAACCCCCCGATCTTAGCAACCGGCCGATGTGCCAATGGCCGCGCTGTCCTTTTTTTGTCGTGCGCCCTTGGTCGAGGCTCCAAAGACAGCTCGTGCTGTAACCCAGGCTCGGTGGATTGTTTTCTGCTTGTGCATACATTTTCCTAGAACCCCGATATGACCTCCTTCTTGATAGACAATACCATATGTTGGAGAGTTCTATCAATATAATATATATATACACACATTCATGCACCAAAGAGTTCAATCACGGCATGGATACCGCGTGATGTTCTTTTGGAGCGCCTTGGAGCTCCTGACAAATACCATTTCTTGAGCTGAAGAACCTGGTCGAAACTCGGGGTGACAGGAGAGTTACCAGTTGCATGTGGATTTGGTAAACACAGAAGGTGATGTCTCAGTCACAGCCCCCTAAACCATGTTTGCCTAACTTGAACATGACTTTCAGCGGCCCGCTCACCTTTTCCTGCTTGAAACGTTGGGGTCAACGGGTCTTGCGCCTTTTACCAGGCGGACTACTCCTTGCACAGCCTGGACAACTACGAAGTCCTAGAGGCCGAACATGTCGTATCGTGTGGCATGCGCCGAGACGGAGACGGAGACAAAACAGGACAAAACAGAGGTGTTTTGTGTACACTCTTGATCAAGAATAGCCCCCCACATGAAGAGGTTGTTAATCCAAATGGGATGGTTTATTACTCAAGAGTCTACATTCCAAGGTTTTTCTCCAGAAGGTATATTGGACCATATTTAAACCATTTTGAACCATCGTCACGCCGTGAAAAACGTGTCATTTGCCTGCTTCAGTCACCGACTTTTGCCTTCTCGTTCTTGGTCTTCGGTTTCTCGTTTTCTCGTGCTTTGCCGCAGGCTTTGACTCAAAAGCGGGGCGATCTTCCATCAGTGGTGGCCCTCTCTCGCGTCGCCTAGACTCCTCTCACAGCGCTCCTCGAAGGTCACAGCCTTGCAGTCAGTCGGTCTGGACAGACTCAACTCAAACAGCGTTGCTTTGCACATCCAACAGCTTTGAGTCTGGCAAATTCAATGTACAAACTCAAACATCCGAGAACGACACCATGCAAATCCACTGAAGTGAAGAGCCATACTGTCACACCATTCAAGCGCTGCACCACAAGTGTGGCATGCGGATACTGCACGACATATTACTAAAAATATGTAAAACATAAATGATATGCTTTTATATGATCGCCTACTTGGACTTCAACCCGGACTTAAGAATCAATAATGCGGTGGATAATCATTATCATCGGCCAGGAGGAAAGGAGGAACAATAAGAAACAACAGCAGCCACAGCAACCGCTATACATCAGAAAGAGTTCCAGGAGCTTTGTATTGCCCACAGGCATGACCTCGAGCGCTGATCGAGGCAGAGTTTTGGCACCTTTAACTAAGACTACGTGGCTACACGTCTTCACTTCTGGAGAAGGAGGAGTCCTCTCCTCATTTACCCCTTGGATCCCCTTGGATGGGCCAGCTTATGCCCTCGTGCTTATGCCCTCACGTCTTCTTCAACGATGCACAAGCTGGACACTGAGCTCAGACTGGGATGAGTGAGCTTAGGGTCGTCGGTCTCAGTTCCCGGGGCCGTGGAGACTGCAACTGGGCTTAGCATGAGAGGGGCATCATGGGGAGCCATGGTGAGCCATACCCGCCCATTAACTGGGTGGGTTGGTTGTGATGGTGGTGGTTGGGCGGTTGGTTTTGTTTGGTTTGGTTTTGTTTGGTTGGTTGGTTTGGTTGGTTGGTTGGTGCGGTTGGTTGGTGTGGTTGGTTGGTGCGGTTGGCTGGTGTGGTTGGTTGGTGCGGTTGGTGGGTTGGTGTGTTGGTTGGTTGGTTGGTTGGTTGGTTGGTTGGTTGGTTGGTTGGTT